GGGACGGTCTGCCGTTGGAATCCCAGCGTGGCCAGCTGTGCGATCCAGGCGGATGGCCCCACTCGTGTGCATCTCTACAGTCCCACGGGGTCCCTCGCTCCGGAGGGTCCTCGCTCGGTGCACTGCTCTGCTGTTGTCTGGACACTTTTATCACTTTTCTTTCTTTTCTCTTTTTTTTAGAGAGATAGCTCGAATGGGCAGAGGGAGAGAGAGCGAGAGAGGGCAGCTCAAGCAATCTCCATGTTTGGCACAGAGCCCAAGTTCAGGCTCGATTCCACCACCCTGGGATCAAACCTGAGCCCAAATCAACAGTCAAACGCTTAACCCACCGAGCCACCCGGGCGTCCCGTCCTATTACGTTTTGAACAAGGAGCCCCGTATTTTCATTTCGCTCTGGGCTCTGCCACTACGTAGCGGGTCCTGGGTCGTGGGCAAGATAGTGGGGACGACGGCAAACCCCATGGAGCAACCAGGCCCCGTTCTGACCCTCTTCTCACACGAACACGGCTCGCCCCACGTCTATGAGGCAGGTACCGGGATTTATTATTGGCTCCATTTTACAGGTGAGGAAACTGAGGCACAGAGAGGTTAAGCCACTTGTCTAAGGTCATAACACTGGGATGTAGGAGGACTGGGATCCATCCAGGCTGTCTGGCTCCATCCAGAGTCTATTGTCATGGCCGTACGCTCCGCTGCTGCTGACCAGGCGGGAACTTGCTCTCCTTGAGTCTGTCTCCGTGCCCTCGGGGGCCAGACATTCCTGGGCTTCCTGTGGTAGCAGCACTCTGTTCCACCTCTGGGGAAGGGCCCGGCTCCCTTTCCGGATGGTTCTGGCGCAATGGCTCCCTGCCCCCAACTCTGAATTCCCAGAGACATTTCGTGCGCCTTCCCCTGGCTCTGAATTAGCCTGGGCCCCCCATCTGTGTCTGACAACCACAGAACCGCAAGGTACAGGACCTCAGGGGCCCCTCTATGGCATGGTGACATGCCCATCACACTGGGTCCTGGTACCAGCCATGCTTGCTTCCTGCTTCCTGCCTGGCACAGACCTGACACACAGTAGGTATTCCGAGAAGGGCAGTCTTTGCCATTCGAGCTGGAAGAGGGGGGAATATGTTCTTTGTGTTCTTGCAACTTGTCTTCTTCAGAGTATTATGGGGAATTCATTCTCGCGGCTGCAAGGAGACATTATGTGTTTATCACACGCTCAGTGGAGAATCTGGAGGAACTCTTTATTCCAGAGCGAAATGAGTCTTCATCTTTGACAGGTGTCTTTTTCGGAATGCTGACATCTTTCTCAAGCCGCGACTCCCTCTAGAGTCTCTGGGAGCAGCTTATGAATGGCGGCCTGTTGGCAGAGAGAGACAGCCCCCCCACCCCCTCCCCCTGCTCCTGCAGCTGCTGCCAAGGAGAGGTTGGCCTCGTGTGCAGCCTGGGCCTCGTGTGTCCCGTTCAAAACATCGCACGAATGTCCCGTTTGCTGCCTGTAAGCCCCTGCCCTCCTCCCGAGCCTCGTATAGGAATGTAAAGGAAACGATCTGCCCTGGAGACGCGTGGATGCTCTAGTCTGCATCGGGCAAGGCTCTAACAGGCTTACACCGAGAATAAGTAAAATAATTCCAAAAGAAGTAGAACTCCTAAGTCCTCGCAAAGCTTTCAAAACCAGATTATGTTCGCTGTTCAAATCTGGGACTGGAGTCGGCTGCTGGAAGGTCCTCCCAGCTCCCGCTGCCCAGTGGAGGCAGGGCCCAGGGCTGGGGAGCACAGCACAGCCGGGTCTGGGCTCTGAGAGTGCCGCAGGCTGGCCTCGCCACCTCAGGTGCTCAGTGTCCTAGTTAAACGCCCCCACAGCGTAGTCCGCCCTTTCTCCACCCTGCCTGCTCTTGAGGACTTACCCAGAAATCTGTATTTAAAGGAAGATGAAATAGGCAAATACTAAAAGGATTTTAGGGCAGATGAATTTGCTGGGCAGGACAACAGTCAGGAAGGATAACCAGAGCCGAGAAGCCAGAGAAACTCCCTAAAACCTAAGGGAAGTCCTGGGAGGTGGGGTGCAGGGCCAGTGGCCGGGGCTAAGGTCAGAGTGTGGACCCTCCACAGGAGGATGGGCTGTTCTGCAGGCCAGTGGGATCCTCTGGGCTTGAATCTTGCCTTTCTCATTGGCAAAATCCCCCACGACTGATTGTGTGCCCAATTTCCTGAGTGAGTGGAACCGTGAGGTAGGCCGGGAGAGCCCAATGCCCCCTTGAAGAAGGGCAGGGGCCTCCAGCAGGAATGGGGCCTCCGGCAGGAACAGGAATGGGGCCCCAGCGAGCTGGGGGGGCTGTGGCCCCAGGAACAGGCAGGCAGCAGAGTCCAGCAGAGGCCTGGGGAGCAGGTTCAGGAGACAGAGCAGGCTCTGTTCTTACCCACATTATTGAAGGGCCAGTGTTGGCCCAGAGGTGGCTCTGCCGTGAGTTGGCTCCGAGTCCCTCGGGGAAATCCAGAAAGCTCGGCCAGCGCTGTGGATGGGTGGCGTGGCTGCCCGAAGACGCTCACGGCCACGGTCGGTGACTCCCAACCAAAGCCTCTGTGACCGTCAGGAGCTTTCTTTTTATCTTCCAATCGTTGAGGCCAGCTTGATCAAGATGAAGTTCCAGAATGTATCATCACCAGCAGCAAAGAGCCTTACCCGTTCCTCATATGTTGTTTGCATCTAAATGACATGCGCCAGCCGCGGAAGCAGGCGTGTTAAAGAACGCGGGCATCGCGACCCCAATTTGGGGCCCTTTGCTGTGCTCACTCATTCTTCCCATGCACGGGAAGTGCTGTCAGGTCCCCAGTTAGGAGGCATCCCCCGGCCTTTCTAACCTAGTCCCACTGGCATTTATTTTGAGGATGTGAACTAAGGGGAAAAAGAACCGTAACCTGTACAGCCTATCAATCAGGCTTCCTTTGCACCCTTCCGCTGGGAGAGGGGAGCATGCCTGCCAGTTTGGGAAGCAACATGGTCTCATCCAGGGAGCTCCTTGCCATTCAGAAGGTACAGGTAAAAGAAAACCTTTCCTGTTCCTCCAGGAAAGGAAGGAGGCAAGAGTAAGACGTCAGCGCCCTCCCTGCCCTCCCCTCCCTCTGTGCACTGTGGAAACTGGGTGTAGATGGGGCAGGTGCAAAGGCTTGGGGAAAGAACAGAAAACATAAGCAGAGGGGTCTGGTCTGTCGGCTTAGTCCCTGGTAGGACTTCATGGTGGATGGCCACGGAGCACAGAAAGTGCCGCTGTGTTTTCTAAGCCAGAAAGAGAGCTGGATATAATTCCTCCAAGTCTCCCTCAGGCATGGAATGGAGAGGGAGGGATCCAGAAGGATCCTACGGCTCCAGAGGAGGGTCTGGAGGTAGCTGTTGTCCTATCGTGGCCCCATAGCGAGGCTGTGGGGTGAGCAAGCCAGGGTGGTTGGAGAGCTCAGGCCAGGCTGGGGAGAGAGGACTGGTCTCAGATGTCCACAGGCCACCTCCACTCCAGGAGGGACCAGCCCATAAGCAGGGGTCCCTTCCCTGCCAGCTGCCACTCTAGCCAGATGCCTCTGGAACAGGGCAGGAGGGAGCAAGAGAAATCCCAGCGATGGAGTCCTTCCCCCAACGCTCCCAGCCGACCTTTAAATAGAAGGTCCTTATGGAGCAGCTGAGTTATGCTTAAAGGGCAAGTTTAACACATTTCCAGACAAACACCCCACCCCACCACCGCCCCTGAATCCTGGTATGGATCCCGAAGACACAGAAACTACCAGATACAGAAAATAGGACACAGTGGTTCTCACTCACTCACCGCTCTGTGCCTCGGCTGCCCCATCTGTAACATAAAAATAAGCACTCCTATATCTACAAAGTTGCTCTAAGGGTGAAATACTTCACGGGACTTTTGGAAAAGTGAGCCCAAACACAAGACTGAACGCAAGGTATTGTTAGTGCCTTTCCCCCTGGAGCTCCACGGGCAATCGCTCCAGGCATTGTCCTGCTCTCCTCCTGACATAAAGAAGAAAGCAGGTGACAGCCATCCATCACTGACCTTCCCACCTTCTCTCAGGGAAAGGAGGTTCTGTGTAGAACGTGCGGATCACAGTGACAGATCCTCAGCCAGCAGAAGGAAGGAGTGAGGCGGGGAATAAAGACAAACAGTGCCCAGTGCCCCGTCCTAGCCGTGCAAACTTTCCGCTGGTGCCCAAGGAGCCGAGGTGCCTCTCCTGTGCTCCGGGGGAAAGAGGAGTGCTCTAGCCTGGCCGTCCCGCTCGATCAGATTTTCTGATGCAGTAGCTCCTTGCCTGACCCTCCTTCTCGCTTCCTTCCTCCCACACATCCGTGCTTCTCGGGTATTTAATTTTTCCCTCTGGCCAGCATCTGACCTGTAGTTTCTCAATGAAACCCCTGACAAGATACGGAGGAATGGGCAGATGCTTTCAGGAAACTCAGAACGTTCCATTAGTTCGGGAGAGAATTGTCGTTACCTGTCACTAATTGTACGGCTGGAATATCAGTTGGATGCGTTTGAAACGTTCACAGGCAAATGTAGGTAAATAATGAACCTTAAGAGGCAAACCCCAAACCCAAACTACATGTCATATGGATTTTGTAGTTACAACCAGGGTATGTTCCCTTTTGCAGAGAATTTAAGCACACCTAATATTCACTGATAGCTTCAGAATTCTAAATAAAATACTTTTTTCTAATGGTAAAAAAAAATCCACAAAACAACAAGCGTTTGGGTTAGCCAGAAATCTATCTTCGCCCTGTTTAGACATCTGAAGTGGAGAAGGCTCCCGCTTTTGGAGATAACGATATGAAATCAGTTTAGCTGGGAGATCAGCATCATTTCGTAGGCCAAGGTGGAAGCTTCCAGTAGATAAACTTCCAAGTGTCTTGTATTTATTTGCCCGTGAATACAACCCTAATAAAAGGCTATAAAGTTTAAATGGGTACATAGTTGGAAAATAACTACGACTCCCATAAAAACTAGATGGTAGAATCCGTGGATGAGGGGTCTGAACCTTGTGTGTGTGGGGGGGAAGATGCAGACAAAGGTTAAGAGCAAGAACATATTCACGGGATCATCCGAGAGATGGGATTTATGGGGATGACTGGGTCCTGGCGGGTTGCCTACAGGGTAGAGCCTTTATTCGGCAAATCTGGCATGTTCTGTCCTCAGAGCCCGGAGGGCCTGGGGATTTTTTTCCCCTTTCAGCCTTCAAACTGGGGAGTCCAGGCAAAGTTCTGTGGCGGGTGGGGGGGGG